GGAAGAAGGACAAGGTTTGTCCATTTTCTTCTCGTGGGTAGCTTTTGTGATGAACAATCCATTTTGTTCCTGCCTACTGTAAGAGTGCATGTGTTTTAAGTGTGAGAAGCACAAGTTGTACGAGTGAGCCTATTCACACCACTGCCTTCCTTATCAGGATGTGAAACCATGGCCAGTTCCCAAATATCTCCTGTCCCACATTGTCCCCATGCTAGGCGCTGGAATCCAGGAAAGCAGATCCTCATGATTGGTCAGAGGGCCTTGGACTGGTCCATCAGGGTGCAAGAGCTCACCCCTGGCAACCTTTCTTGCCTCTCTTGGTATGGGCCTAACTGGTCTCTGGCGAGGCGTGTGTGTGTGTGTGTGTGTGTGTGTGTGTGTGTTGTTTTCTTGTTGCAGTTTTCTTAGATGCTGTGTGGAGTGAGATTTCCTCAGGCGAGGTCTTAAAATGAAGAGTCTCATCCTTCTTAAAGAATTTACCTATCTCGGGCCTCCCCGGTGGCGCATCAGTTGAGCGCTGGGTTGCGAAGCTGCCCATGGCCTCTGCAGCGCCGGTTCGATCCCCGGCTGCTCCCCGGCCACGGGAGGAGGATCCCACATGGCGCGCAGACCTCTCCTGCCGCCCGCTGCTCCCCTCAGCAGTGTACTCCGGTCCTTCTGCCTGCTTTGCTCCCCGCTCTGGCTCTGGTGAATTCTCTCACCCTCCCGTGCTTCTGACTGTACCCAGTGCTTGTATAAATAAATAAATCTTTAAAAAAAAAAAAAAGAATTTACCTATCTCCACCTGACTGCTTGAAACAAGCCTGTTGCTTCCTCTGGAAGGCACCCTGGCTGTAGGGTGGGGGGAGGTGATTTCAGAGGCAGTTGGTGAGCTGACAGGATGGAGCATTATCCGAAAGCATTATCAGCAGATGGGCTGTGTGTGCCTGGAAAGCTCCCATGCTTTGTAGTCAGGTCTGTGAGCTAAGAATAACTTGTACTGAATTATGACTTACTCTTCCTGTTTTGCACAATCACCAGGTGCTTAGACCAGGGGATGCCCTTGACGTTTTCCTTTTGCTTTGTACCCCATAACTTTTCCCTGGCTGGGGTTCAAGTGCTGAGGCACTCCAGATGTGGGCTGGATTTGCAGGCCCCACACTGCACATGGTTACTCTGGATTGCACTAGGCTCCAATTGGGAGGTCCTAACAGAGTTGTACACTCAGGCTGTTTGAAGCCACCCCAAAGGAGGTAGTGCTTCCTTGGCTGTTTCTAAGCAAGCCAAGAAGGTCAGCGGGAGCCGTAAGCTGAGTGAATGTGGGTGGGCATGAGCTGTGGGTATGCGGCCACCTCCGTGCATGGCACCTTGCATACCTGCCTGGCCTGAATGAATCACAGTCCCTAGGCCTGGAACTTTTTCCCTGGTCTCAGTATATGCTGGACACTGTTAGTGAGACTGCAGTTCCAGAGTAGCAGCTTTCCTATTCTCAGCAAGACTTCATGCTGGCCCCTGTTCAGTTCCAGAAAAAACTTGGGTGGCTTTTTTTTTTTTTTAAAGATTTATTTATTTATTTACACAAGCACTGGGTACAGTCAGAAGTGCGGGAGGGTGAGAGAATTCACCAGAGCCAGAGCAGGGAGCAGAGCAGGCAGACTGATGAAGTACACTGCCAAGGGGAGCTGCGGGCGGCAGGAGAGGTCTGCGTGCCATGTGGGACCCTCACCTGGCGGCTGGGGAATGAACCGGCACTGAAGAGGCTGCGGGCAGCCTCGCAGCCCAGCTCTCAACTGCTGTGCCACCAGGGGAGGCCCCCCTTTTTTTTAATTTTAAAGATTTATTTTATTTATGCATACAAGAACTGAGGTGTAAGCCAGAGGTGCGGGGGGCGGGGGTGAGAGGATTTACCAGAGACAGAGTGGGGAGCAGAACAGTTGGATCTACTGAAATACACTGCTGAGAGGAGCAGTGGGCGAGATAGGAGAGGTCTGCTGTGCCATGTGGGGTTAGCTCCCTGGCCAAAGATCGAACTCATGTAGCAATTGCTGGTTGCTGAGACTCTAACCCCTGTGCCACCAGGGAGGCCCTTGTGTGGCTTTTTAAAACAGAGCTGTCATATGGTCAAATTTACAGAAGTCAAATTTTTATGTGACATTTTGGTGGTGGTCTGATTGTTGTGTGCAGGTAGATAGTCCTTGTGAGCTGTGGAAACTGCAGTGAAGATGCTCCAGGGGCATGGACACTTGAGCCACACAATGCTGGCTCCTTGCCACAGGGTCCAGCCACCTAGTTTTTCTCACAGAATATCCCAGCCCCTTTGGAGCCTCACAGCAAGCATAAAATGACAAACTCCTCTGGACAGAGGTGACAGATAGTTTCTCTGTAGGTCTGGATCCAAGAGCCAGCCACTATTCCATGTTACCCTCATGAGCACCTGGCAGAAACCTCAGCCACCTCACAGGAGTCACATGGACTGTTGCCCACAGAGCTTCCCTATTCAGCCTGGGCCACTGTCTGGGGTCTTTCATTCCTGTGTGCTTGTCCAAGGCTCAGCCACACACCTACATGCTTGGCAGTTGTAAGATACTGCTCCCAGCAGGGAGCTTTAGGCCCCAGTTGCCTGCATGCCTTTCCCTAGCCTGAAGTGCAATGACTAGGAAGACAGTGACTATATCCAGGGCTTGTTCTCAGAGCCTGAAAAGGTCAGCAGGGGTGAGAAGGTAGCCCAATAAGCTAGAGTGTCAGAGAGTACTTGGTCAGACCCTGAAGAGGGAGATGGCGCACTGGTGGGCTTGGGTGGGGGCATGCTGGAAGAGGGGCCTCTGCACCCTTGGGACCTGTCAGGAGTTCGCTGAGGGAGCATATTGGGCCTCGGTGAAGGAGGGTGCTGGGCTGGTAGATAGTGAATTGAGGAAAGGGAGGAGTTGGTGGGCAACGGACCTGACTTGAGTAGGGGGGTGAGGGATTGGAGAGAAAGGCAGTTCCTGATGGTTGCCTCCCCAGGGGCTGGCTTTCCTCTGGTCCTTCCCTCCCAATGACCACATCTTCGTCGAGGCCACGGCCCTGAACTCTGTGCCACACCTCTGGCGCCTGGCTGCCTGGGGACCCCTGGGTGGCCTTCCCTCAATCCACGAAGCTTTCACTGCCACGACCGGAGGGCTGCTATGCCACCTACCTGGGGCTGAGTAGAATAGCGGGGCACTGTGACCAAGTTAGGGGGCTCTGCATCTGGCCTGTGAGCATCAGTGGCCAGACCTGCATCTGTCCTATGGCTGGCATGCAGCCCAGGGGGGCCACAGCAGGCTGAGGTGGACATGGCCTCCTCTTCTGACATCCCAGAATGGCATGTTCCTGGTGGGGCAGTTCTTAAAACAGCCCTCCATCTCAGTGGGGCTTGGGTCTGTGGGATTTGGGCAGGGTTGGGCTGCTAGGGCTTCTCCCACTAACTGACTGCTGGCCTAGTTGCCACAGACAGCGTCAATTGTTTACCTGAAGTGTTCTTGTGTCTGGGAAGGCAACTTCCTCAGGTGAAGGGTGTGTGTCTTCTGTGCTGGATTCTGGTTGTGTGAGCGGGTGCTGGGAACCCTGTCAGCTGTGTCTGGCAGGTGGACACCTGACCCGGGGAAGCCCAGCATACTTCCTGTCGCCCTGTATCCTGGATGATTAAGCTGACCCTTCTCATCAGCTGTGTCTAATCTGCTTTTAAAGCTGAGTTTTAATTGGTGGTTGCTATAGCTTCCTTTTCCTTTTCTTTTTTTTTAAAGAGATTTATTTATTTATGCATATAAGAACTAGGGTACAGGCCAGAGGTGCAGGGGGTGAGAGGATTCACTGGAAGACAGAGTGGGGAACAGAACAGGCAGACTGACTGAAATACACTGCTGCGGGGAGCAGCGGGCGAGACAGGAGAGGTCTGCTGCGCCATGTGTGTAGCTCCCTGGCCAGGGATCAAACTCATGCTGCAGAGGCTGCAGAGGCTGCAGATAGATTCACTGTGCTGCATCTTAACCCCTTGTGGCACCAGGGAGGCCCCTATGTAGTTTCCTTTTCTAAAAGTTCTTTCCAGTTCTCTGTCAACCTCCTTGTTTACTCCTATTACTTCCTTTTCCCTGCAAATATTCCCAAGCTCCTTTGTTTTCTGCAACTGTACATGGAGAGCTTTCTATTGGTTCTTGCTCTTGGTGCTTTGGTTGTGATTCTTTCTGTCTGTACTGCCCATTATCCCCAAGAATATTTGTTAGACTACTTCAGGGTCTAGGATGAAGATGAGAACTTTGGTTTTCCTGGTGCCCAGGGACATCTACCCATTCGGGAGCCCCTAAAACCAAGTTCTCGGTATGAAGGTCCCTAGGTCCCCAGCATGGCCCTGTGTTTCTTTTTTTAAAAGATTTATTTATTTGTGCATCCAAGAGCTGGGGTGCAGGCCAGAGATGCAGGGGTGAGAGGATTCACCAGAGACAGAGTGGGGAGCAGAACAGGTGGATCTACTGAAATACACTGATGAAGGGAGCAGCAGCGGGCAAGACAGGGGGCCATCAGCTGGTCTGCTGTGCCATGTGGGTCACCTCCCTGGCCGGGGATCGAATTCATCCTGCAGTGGCTATGGATAACTTCATAGTGCTGTGTCTTAATCCCTTGCACCACTAGGGAGGCCCACCCATGGTGTTTCTCAGGGATGTCCCCCACTTCTGTGTGCTGTCCCTGTAGTCCCTGGTGTGACTGTGGATATAGCCCATGCACTCCCTGAGAGTATTGCTCTTTGGGGTCCCAGCTTCACTTGGAAGAAGGTTTTTATAGATTCTCATTTTGGAGTGATTCTGGTCTTCTACTTACCTTGTCTCTGAGGCCTCCAGAGGCCACCAGATGGGCAAATGCTCTGGAGCAGAAGTAGCCCCCATACCCTGCTTTCCTCTCTTGTTCCTGCATTCTCTGAGATGTTGGCCAAACTCTGCACTACTTTGTCAGCTCTTGATTACTTTTAAGATGTTTTCATATATTTTTTTTTAAGATTTATTTATGTATATAGGAACTGGGTACAGACTAGAAGTATAGGGGGTGAGAGGATTCACCAGCAGAACAGGCAGATTGACCGAAATGCACTGCTGAGGGGAGCAGTGGGTGAGTCAGGAGAGGTCTGCTGCGCCATGTGGGTAGCTCCCTGGCTGGGGTTCAAACTCATGGTGCAGTGGCTGCGGACAGCTTTATAGGTTGCATCTTAACCCCTTGCGCCACCAGGGTGGCCGTTTTCAATTTTCTTTCAAGCATTTTGAGTTATTTTATGAGGAAGTTTGGTCCTGCCCATGAGTATTGAGTTCATTAGTGTAGGGGCAGGAATGGCACTGTGCAGGTTTTCTGATCCAGCAGATGGGTTAAAGGAGAAGAGAGAGTCCTCAGTGGCTTTTGCAGGCTTTTATTGGGATTTACCAGGCAATGTTGTGGGTAGAAGCCGGGGAACCTGAAACAGGGTACAGGTTGATGTGAGGAGAGAAGTTTCAACCTGGAACTGAGAGCAGATCTAGAATCTAGTGACCTCAGTGCCCAGGCAACCTGAAAACAAGAAGAAATCTGATTCCTAAGAGAGTTTCTAACTTGCAGAGAACATAGTTTTAACAAAGACGAATGAATGAAAATCTTGAATTTCTGGCTATTGGTCAAAGCCTATTGTAACGCATCCAACCCATCCAGGTAGGTTTATTAACACTTCTAGCAGCCACATGCTCTTTGCCGTTGTTTGTAGTCGCCGTACTCCTCCGTACACTCCAGTGCACTCCTCCATCCTCGACACCGCACCACCACACCGCACTCTGCTGTGCCACCCCTATAAACCAGCCTCTCAGCCCAGGTGTACCCACCTATGTATGCCCACATCCTCCTCCAGGTGCCCGCCATCAGGCATGTATTCAGGACCACAGGATTCCGTCATCTATTCTAATGGCGGGAGGGCAGAAAAGCCTGATACCTTTTACCTACCCTACAGTCCACGCCCTCAGGGTTTTCTGCCATACAGTCCATCTGTTTCTCTTAGTCTTATGAACACTGCAGACATGGCCCACAAAAATAAATAGACTACATCACAATATAACAAAATAAACAGAACACAAATAAGTCCAGGCAGGGCACCAACCCAGTGGCGAAAGACAATTATTGGCACCAGCACATGATCCACCAAATCTGCTGCCGAAGGCACTGCTCATACAAGGAGCCATCAGGCTTCCTGGCCTTCTCCGACTGTGGTCTCAGGCACAAGCCACACACCACATCCACCCCCATGATGCAGTTGCTTTGGGATTGGCGACTCTATACTGTTGGGGGTAATAGCCAACCCTCAGGGTTTCTGTCTGTGGTCGCTCCAACGCTCGGCTTTCATAGCCACCAATGCAACACGTAGACTCTTGCACTCAGGCCAACCCATTGCACAAGCACATGGGTCAGGGATCCAAACTCCACATGCAGCCTCTCTTGGGTCCCCTCTTTGGCTTGGGCTCCACCCCAAGCCATGTTCCCCACCTGTCCCCTAAGGACGGGTTCCTCAGCTCCTCACCCTCACTCGACAATGAACAGGTGTAAGGGGCAGGACTGGATACAGTGCAGGTTTTCTGATCCCATGCAGACCGGGTAAAGGAGGAGTCAGAGTCCTTAGTAGTTTTGCAGGTTTTTTATTTGGGGTTCACCAGGCATATGGCAGGCAGGGGTGCTGGCTGGGGGGCTGGGAGGCTGGCAGGCCTCCCAGCCCCCAGCAAGTCCTCACTCTATCTGGGCTCTCTAGCGTTCGTTCTGCTGCTTCTCGGCTTCGGCTTCGGCTGCGGCGGCTGCTGCTGCTGGTGCTGGTGCTGCTGGCGTCCCCCCGTGATGCTGCCCTTAAAAGCACAGTCTTAGCTCAGCTGAATCCCATCTACCTATGCCCACACCCTATTCCAGGTGCCCACCATCAGGCATGCATTCAGGACAAGGATCCATCATCTATCCTGATGGCGGAAGGGCAGAAAAGCCTGATATTTTCTTTACCCTACAGTCCACCCCCTCAGGGTTTTCTGCCATATAGTCTATACATATATACAATTTTCTAAGCAAACAAACAATGCAGCCATGGCCCACAAAAGCAAATACATCAAATATAACAAAATACAACAAAACACAAATAAGTCCAGGCAGGGCACCAACCTAGTGCAAAAGACAATTATTGGTACCAGCAGATGAGCTACCAAATCTGCTGCTGAAGGCACTGCTCATATGAGGGAGGGGAATCACTCACGGCATCTGCTATAACACACCAGGAGCCGTCAGGCTTCCTGGCCTTCTCTGGCTGTAGTCTCGGCTACAAGGCACACACAGCATCCACCCCCAGGATGCACTAGCTCTGGGATTGGCAATTTTATTCTGTTGGGGGTAATCGCCAACCCTCAGGGTTTCTGTCTGCAGTCGCTCCAACACTCGGCCTTCATGGCCACCCATGCGACTCACAGACCCCTGCACTCAAGCCAACCCACTGCACAAGCACATGGGTCGGGGATCCAAACTCTGCATTCGGCTTGGGCTCCACCCCAAGCCACATTCCCCACCCATCCCCCAAGGACAGGTTCCTCAGCTCCTCACCCTCGCTCAAGAATGAGCAGGGCATCACCCACAGGTGATTTTACGAGACTCACAGTTCTTCAGCATACCCAGGCTGCTTAACAGCCGCTCAGGGCTTCTCAACTTATCATCAGTACCAGCTTTTGCTTTCTCAGTTGGCTTTTCTCCTCCACCTGGCCACTGGGCATACACAGGCTGCTTTTGGCCATCTAGGCCCACTAGCCACCCCCAGATTCTCAAAAAATAAACATAACCTGCTAAGGTCCTCCGCCTTCTGGCAGGATTGTCAGTCCAAAATCATCAGTTCATCAGTCTATCAGTCCATTGGCCTCTCCCTGCTTCAGCAATGGCCTGCTGCCTCAGGGGTCATTGGCTGGTCCTTTCCGGTGTCGTTGGCTGGTCCTATCCGGTGTCGTTGGCTGGTCCTTTCCGGTGTCGTTGGCTGGTCCTTTCGGGCGTCTCCTTCACGCCAGGTCTCATCCTGTAGCTCGTGGACGTATCCATCTTCTATACCGCCATGGTGCCTCCAGCGTCGTCACAGGCAAAGTCTGTTCTCCTTAGTCCCTCCAGGTCTTCGGAGGGCTCCAATACCCGTCTGCATGGATCTTGCCGACTTACGCCAATTGTAAGGGGCAGGAACTGGACACAGTGCAGGTTTTCTGATCCCATGCAGACCGGGTAAAGGAGGAGTCAGAGTCCTTAGTAGTTTTGCAGGTTTTTTATTTGGGGTTCACCAGGCATATGGCAGGCAGGGGTGCTGGCTGGGGGGCTGGGAGGCTGGCAGGCCTCCCAGCCCCCAGCAAGTCCTCACTCTATCTGGGCTCTCTAGCGTTCGTTCTGCTGCTTCTCGGCTTCGGCTTCGGCTGCGGCGGCTGCTGCTGCTGGTGCTGGTGCTGCTGGCGTCCCCCCGTGATGCTGCCCTTAAAAGCACAGTCTTAGCTCAGCTGAATCCCATCTACCTATGCCCACACCCTATTCCAGGTGCCCACCATCAGGCATGCATTCAGGACAAGGATCCATCATCTATCCTGATGGCGGAAGGGCAGAAAAGCCTGATATTTTCTTTACCCTACAACAGGGCATCACCCACAGGTGATTTTAAGAGACTCACTGGCCTTCTTTAGCTTACTTAGTGCTTAACAAGCCGCTCAGAACTTCTCAGTCTCAGTACCAGCTTTTGCTTTCTCAGTTGGCTTTTTCTCTGCCTGGCTGCAGAGAACTTGGCGAGGGCTTCCTCCCTCAGCCAACTGTGGGCTCTTCTACCAAGGCCCACTGGCCATGACTTGATTTTTAAAGGATACCATAAACCCCAGGATCCCCAAAACATAACCTGCCAAGGTCCTCTGCCTTTTGGCAGGATTGTCAGTCCAACTCCATTAGTCCAAGTCCATCAGGCCTCTCCCTGCATCAGCACTGGCGAGCTCCGAATCATGGTCCTTTCTTTCCCCGATGATTCTGTTGCCTCAGGGGTCTTTGGCTCAGACGGTCCTCTCAGGCCATCTCCTTTACGTGAGGTCTCGTCTTGCAGCTCCTGGACCTTGTCCACCTCCTGTGCCACCATGATGCCTCCAGCGTTGTCACAGGCAAACACAGTCTGCTTCTTCTCAGTCTCTCCAGGTCTTCGGAGGGCTCCATACCCATCTGCATGGATCATCTTGCCGACTTACGCCAATTGTAGGGGCAGGAATGGCACTGTGCAGGTTTTCTGATCCAGCAGACGGGGTAAAGGAGACGAGAGAGTCCTCAGTGGCTTTTGCAGGCTTTTATTGGGATTTACCAGGCAATGTTGTGGGTAGAAGCCGGGGAACCTGAAACAGGATACAGGTTGATGTGAGGAGAGAAGTTTCAACCTGGATCTGAGAGCAAATCTAGGATCTAGTGACCTCAGTGCCCAGGCAACCTGAAAACAAGAAGAAATCTGATTCCTGAGAGAGTTTCTAACTTGCAGAGAATATAGTTTTAAAAAAGATGAATGAATGAAAATCTTGAATTTCTGGCTATTGGTCAAAGCCTATTGTAATGCAACCAACCCATTCTGGGTAGGTTTATTAACAGTTCTAGCAGCCACATGCACTTCGCCGTTGTTTGTAGTCGCCGTACTCCTCTGTACACTCCAGTGCACTCCTCCATCCTCGACACCACACCACCACATCGCACTCTGCTTCACCACCCTTATAAACCAGTCTCTCAGCCCAGGTGTACCCACCGATGCATGCCCACATCCTCCTCCTGGTGCCTGCCATCAGGCATGTATTCAGGACCGCAGGGTTCTGTCATCTATCCTAATGGCGGGAGGGCAGAAAAGCCTGATACCTTTTACCTACCCTACAGTCAGACACCTCCAGGATAATGGCCCTCTGTGGGCACTACCAGGGTGCCCAAGGGCAGGAAAGCAGCCTTTTCCTGTCACCTCTGGGTCCCCTCCTACACAGGGTCCTTCTGCTTCTGGTACTGTCTTTGTCTCAGCATCCTGAAGCGTCAGTTGCCAACAGCCTATCACAAACGGACACATCCTGTAGTAACTTGGGCTTCAGCAGATGATGCTTGTCACCTTAATTTCACCTGACCTATACAGCCACCAGCTTCTTACTGAGGGCACAGGTTGGTTCCCTGAGGCTGTTGTCAGTGTCCATGCCTGTGTGGCTGAGCCCTGCATATGGCCTGTGGAAGCAGTGGGGACACTGGTGGAGTGACTCCTTTAGTGCAACCCCCAGCTTGGTCCTGCAGGTTCAGTGATTTGGAAGTAAGTGCACTGACACCAGCACTGTGGTGTCACCCACTCCTAGGCCCTGTGAGCTCAGCAGTTAATGTATGGTCGTGTCTGGGCTGCCAGCCTTGGATTTTGGTCTCTCCTTTTCTCTTGACACCCCTGCCCTCCTTCCACCTGCCTGTCTGCATGGTGCTGGTACAACTTTGATGGCAGGGTCAGTGTGGTGGGAACATTCTTGTTCTGTCCTGAGACAGAAAAGGTTTTGCTTCAGAAGCCCAAGAACTGGCAGCAATTGCACTGATGTCAGAGGGGACATACACTCTCACCATACCAAGGCTGGTACAGGGCTTCTCCTGGCATTGTGGGGACCCTGGCCTGAGGCAGCGAACTGTACCCTGGCTTCAGGAGGACTGTGCTAATACCCCGCACAGCAGGCTGACCACCTGCCCCGTGTAGCCACACTAAGAGCAGGGGCGAGGGTGACACAGTTGTCTTTGCTTGTGTCGAGGCTTATGTGAAGGTGGACTGATCTGGGCACTATGTCCCCACACTTTCCTCTGGTGTGGGCCCGAAATAGACTTGCTTCACAGATATCTCCTCCTGGGTGGTGCCTGGCCCTGCTCTGGCAGGCAACATGCTTTTGACATCCTGAGGGACAGGCCTCTGGATGGACCCTCCCCAATCTTAGGCCACCCCAGGCTAGTGCACTTGGAGCCCAGGGATCTCCTCTAGACACACACATAGTCACACATGTACAAAACACATGTATACACACAGCAGACGTGAACCTATGCCTGTAATGTCTGAGGTCTGTTTGCCTGGGCTCCACCCAGGAGGCGCACATCTATAAAACATGTCAGAGACCCTCACAGTCACCTTACCCAGGGGCTGTGGCCTCAGGATATCATCTGAGATCTCCTGGCCCAGAGGCCCCCCTGGCATGGGCCCCATATGTGGGGGTGTATGCTGAGTCCAAATTCACCAGCACCTGAGTACATATCCATATTACTGGCACATATTTTTTGCCCACGTCCCTGCCTGCAAGGGTATGTAGGGCCCTTGGGGTCCCTTGGTAGAGTCTGCATCATTGTGAATGGAGGGCATGTGCCAAGGCCCTGCTGCATTGTGTCCCCAGGCAGGTGAGATGAGGTGTAAGGAGTTGGTGAGGGCTGGAGTTGGTGCTGTTGGCAGGGAAGGAACAGGTGATCTAGGTGGTGGGCACATAGCAAGCTGAATAGTTGCTCGGTGTGGTAGGGAGACTTCCCATCCCTAGCCTCATGCATGGCTCTTGTCCTCGCTGCTGCTGCCCCTCTAATGCCTACCATCCCCACTTGGCCTTTCCAGGCCTTTCCTTATGGGTATCAGGGGAATGGTCTGGCCAGTGCTGTTAAGGCCACAGGTTTAAGGAGATGGTTGTGTGGTGCCAGAGATTTCTGTCTGGCATGTGGTTCTTCCTCATCCAGTGAGGGTCAAGGACATGATAGAGGTGGTTCTGTACTAGGCCATGGAATGTTACAGTTTTGGGGTGAGGGGTGGGATTCTGTCCTTTGTCCTTTACTCAACTGATTTTTTTCTTTTCCTACAGACTCTGACTCCATGTGAGCAAATCTACCCCTTGGGGACCCATGTGCATCATCTTCTTTAAGTTTGATCCTCGTCCTGTTTCCAAAAATGCATACAGGTAACCCCCTTGCTCTGTGTCTGCTGTCTTTGGCTTGGCCTCAGGTACTGCATTCCTCATGGGATCCATATAGGTATTGTGTGCAGGAAGGGCTGCTGCCCATGGGTGGGAGAGAGCACGCCCTGGGAGGACTGCATGGTCAGACAGTGGTCACTGTCTGACTAGCTTCTCATTTTTGTCACCATGAAAAATCACGCAGATATCATGCCGCCCAACGTTGTGTCTGCATTCACTGATACTGGGCCAGATGGGGCTTGAAGATTGTCCAGTGTTCCCTTCCTGCAGAGGAGTGAGCAGTGGAGCCAGGTCACAGTCCAGGAGCTGACCCTAAATGACTCCAGTAGAGTTAGCTCTGTGAGCTAGAAAACAGAATCCGGGCAGAGTGATTCAAGCAGGGAAAGTATAACATAAAGAATTATTAACGATAATGGGATTGGAGTGCCCAGGGCAGAACTGTACCTTTTACCCCCATGCTAAGGTCCAGACTGTGGTGGAGAAAGAGGCACAGCCACAGCACAGTGAGAAATTGTGGGGTGCCACAACAGCAGAACTTGCTGGAAATCTGCTTTTTAGGGTAGGAGGGATGCTGGGTGCAACTTACTACTATAGGTACATTGGGGAAGCCATGTGTGTTTGGGAATGTCTTGAGGAAACACAGTGGGGTGAGGAAAAGAAGCCTCTCCTCTGGTATTTCTTCAGTGCCCTCTATTGACAAAACTGATAATGCTCCCAAGTGCAAAATTCAGCTCCATTACCGTAGTACATGCAATGAAGGGGACTTGGGGACTCGGATACAATAGCTAGCTGGCATGGCCCGCTCTGCTGGCTACCAAGCTTTCATATACACCCATCTGCACTAATTGAACTCCAATGCACCCACAAAATGACTTGCTTTTTACCTGGCCAAGTAAGAATTTCTCAAGTGAGGACGTGGAACCTGACAGTCACCGAGTCCACTGTTGACTGTATTTGCACTTGACATGCATCCTTAAGAATACTTCCAACCTCTTGCAGTGAGGAGGGGGTACATGGGTCTCTCTTTCACTCAGGACCTGTAGGAGACCTGAGTAGAGAAGTAAACACCAGTGGGCCCAGATTCCTGGTTAAAGACCAACATAACAAATAGGTGCTGTTTTAAGCTGAAGTGTTTGAGGTCATTTGTTTGGGTGCTTAGAAAATTGATATACCTCACTCCCTATCAAGGCAACATGATCATGGCTGTCGCATAACTGCCCTCTACATCAGAATGTTTATTTAGACTCACGAGATGATGCCTTTTACCAGCTCTAGCCTGGAGGGACTGCTGGGTGAGAAGTTGCCCCTCATGATGGTTTCCATGGAGGTCGTCACTACAGTTGCGATCACTGACATGGTCCTGTGCACCTGCTACTTGCCACCAAACTCCCCCTAGATGCACAGGCCTACCCAGGTAGTGCATAGTTTCCCCTACAAGATGATGCTCAGACTCATGCTCAGCAGCAGGATGAGGTGTGCCTATTGGTGATGAATCATTAATAGCAGACTAAAACATTATCAGTAGACTAAAACTTCACATCCTCATCCTCTGACGATCAGCACATCCCTTGTGTCTTGGTGGTCATGATACAGATAACTTCTGTCAGTATGCAGTACCCAGAGTTGGCAGGAAAGAATACATTCTCTTACGTGGAGTATGATGGGGATACTTACTATGCCCCTTCCTCTCTGAATTTTAGCAATTCAGCTAAATAACTTCTGCTATGACAAAAATAACTTGGCGATTAATATTTCAAGTTATTAACAAACACGTTACTGCTCTGGCCTGGAATGCAGGCCAGAGGTGCTGGGGGTGAGAGGATTCACCAGAGACAGAGTGGGGAGCAGAACAGGCAGACTGACTGAAACACACTGCTGCGGGGAGCAGCAGGCAAGAAGGAGAGGTCTGCTGCACCATGTGGGTAGCTCCCTAGCCGGGGATCAAACTCATGCTGCAGTGGCTGGTGATAGTTGATAGCACTGAGACTTAACCCCTGCACCACCTGGGAGGCCCGATTTTTCCCTTTTTTTGGTGTCATATATAAGAATCAACCAGAAGCTAACAGTGCTGACCTCATTATGTGCTCTGCCTCCATGGCCCTCCTAGTTCCCTCATGCCACAGGTATAGGGATGAATGAGCAGAGGAGGAACACAGGATCTCTGACAGAGGGTACTCATTGGGACCATGTACAACTAGACTCCCATCCTTAGGATCTGGGGGTGGGAGTTGGCTAGTCCCTGCTGCATCCCTACCTTAGTTTACACTATCTTCTCCTCTAGAGATCCTCCAGTTCAGGTCACAGCAGATGGGATTCCTTCCATGGGGCAGGCCTTGCAAGCAGTCTGTGGGAGTGGTACCTGTCAGGACAGACATAGACCTGGTCCCAGAAGGGGCAGAGCAGACAAGGTGGAAAGCAGATGGTAGGGACAGGCTATCTGTCTCAACCCAGGGTGGGGGCCTGGGTGGGACTAATGCAGTTGGAGCTCCAGAGGGTTGTTCTGTGAATGACTGGGGAGTCATATCAGGGATAGTGACCCTCCCCCACTCAGGCATATTCGTAGCCAGCTATGTGGAGGGGTAGAGAGTGGGCACATAGTGGATGGGTATCACTAGAGTGGCGCTGCTTCCTGGGCACACCCAACTGGTTCCATGGCCACACTAGGCCTCTGGCTGTGGTTGGGACTGTGTGTGGGGTCACACACTGTACACCCAATGAAAATGCTTCCAAAGAAGGGGCCTCCCTGGTGGCACAGGGGTTAAAGACAGCACTATCAAGCTATTGCCAGCCACTGCAGCATGAGTTCAATCCCACTGCTCCCCTCAGCAGTATATTTCAGTAGGTCTGCCTGTTCTGCTCCCCACTCTGTCTCTGTGAATCCTCTCACCCCCTGCACCTCTGGCCTGTACCCCAGTTCTTGTATGCATAAATAAATCAATCTTTAAAAAAAAAAAAAAGAAAGAAAATGCTTCCAAAGCCTGAGTGGTGATGCCCGTGCTGGATTCATTTTCAGTTTTATGGACAGCTTTGTTAATTCACATTTTACCAAGAGCAATTGTTCGAGTCAAGCAAATTGACAAGTCAATACAAAAATTATTTTTGCAGGTTTCTTAGTATCTGGCCACTGACTAGAGTCACTTGGTCCCATTGTACAGGTACTCCTGTATGACCACACAATTCCCTGCTCCTGGCTGCACGTCCTCTGTGCCCGCTGTGGTGTTCAGGTCCTACTGCAGTCACTTCTTAGATCCTGAGGTCTAACAGGTGTCTTGGGATTGACCCTAACCCACAGTCACCATCTATGTTCTTATTTATTTATTTTTTAAAAAGATGTATTTATTTATACAAGGACCAGGGTACAGGCCAGATGTGCAGGAGGGTGAGAGGATTCACCAGAGACAGAGTGGGGAACAGAACAGGAAGACTGACAAAATACACTGCTGAGGGGAGCAGCGGGCGAGACAGGAGAAGTCTGCTGCGCCATGTGGGATTCTCACCGGCCAGCCAGGTTTGAACCTGCGCTGTAGAGGCTACGGGCAGCTTCACAGTGTGGTGCTCAACCGCCTGTACCACCAGGGAGGCCCATATGTTCTTATTTATTTTAATGGCAAGGTTGACTAGAAACTTCATGTTTTTACCACAAAACCAGTATCCTAATTGCCAAATAAACTTGTTTGATTCACTAGTAAAACACAGAAATCATTACCCCCTCTCTCCTAAAAAATATCCCCAAACACAGGCTAGAGTGGCCTTTGAAGACCCTGTGCCGCTGTCCACGTGTCCCACCACTTTCTGATGGTAGACCCCTTCACATTTCCTGGAAGCTCATAGACTTGAGAGTTGGGGGTATCTTCAGGGGAAGGGACAGATGGACGGGAGCCCCCCCCCCCACTTTATAGCCTGAGTACCTGTGATGTGCTCAGTGCCACCAGCTCCACACCATCTGCACCATCTGCCTGACCCACGCCCAATTCTTGGAGGCTTGGGCCCAGGCTGTCCCACAGGGCTGGGTGAAACTCCATCTCCTGGCCCTGAGTGCTGCGGATGCATCTTCACCTGGCACCTATCTGTTTCCTCAGGCAAACCCCAGGACACAGTCTAGGCTTTCCCAGAACCTAACCACCTGAATCTTCATCCTGTGTGGGTTCCTATCTTCTTTGGCATTTGCCCATGTTGCTACTTAGGCAAATTTTCATTATTAACTAGAGAGAAAAAAACATGTCTTTTTGAGACCTTCAGTCAGGCTTTCTCCTTCAGGCTCATCCTGGCAGCCAACAGGGATGAATTCTACCACAGACCATCCAAGGCAGCAGACTTCTGGGGGAACAACAATGAGATCCTCAGTGGTGAGTCTCTTCTGAAGGAGTGAGAGGCTGGGAGGGCTCTAGGTGCACTAGGTATAAATGTGAAATGAATAAGTGGGCACTAATGACTCTTGTGGGGTGGACTCCAAAATGAGGGTCTGGGGCCAGCATTGAGGTACTCAGTCCCAGAACTGTCCCTAAGCCCCACCCACATGGCTTCATGGCCATGTAGATCCTTAAAAGAGGTAGCTGGAAGGATCAGCTTGTATTATTTAATCCACCCTTTCACTGTGGTATGTAGTTGGATTTGTGTGAGGTGAAAGATCCCTTTGATCATGTGTCATAGTTGGGGGGTGTGCATGCATGTGGGTGTGCATGTGCATGCATATCTGCAGGTTTCTATTTTCCCTCAAATGCCCTTTGCTCTAGGGGGCACCAGCCTGACTTTGGGGAGCTGAAGCTTGATTACGGTACCAAGTGGTGCTACAGAGGGGAGGTGCATCCAAGTTTCTTTGGGTGTTAGCAAGGCCATTTGCCCACATGGCTGGCAGCCTCCTTGAGGCCCTTGGACAGGAAGCAATTCCTTGCCTTAGATGGGCTGGGGTCTACTAGAAAGGCACATGGGCAGGTATTGGCCAAGTCAGAGGTCCTTCTGCCTGTGTGCCAACCAGCAGGCAAGCGCCCGGGAGTCTGGCAGAGCTGAAAGTGGCGCTCAATATCCCCAGGGGCTGGTCATATGGCCTCGTGGACCCAGGGAGGCTTCATGTGCCCTAAACTTTTGACGTGTCTAACGACTTGCTTGTGGAGCTTTACAGAAGGCCCCCTGTGCAGACCGTGGTCAGGTAGTGGTGTGAGGAGAACACTGCTGAGTTGTTTTTTTGGTTTTTTGTCATGGCATCATGTTCGGAGCAAGATGGGAGTAAAGACGGCACCATCCTGGGCAGGATGTCTGGCAGGTGGTGGAGAAAACTGCTTCAGGCTGTGAGCATTGACTCTGGATGGTTGTGAGATGTGAAAGAGAATAGATCTTATCTGGGTCTCAGTCTTATCATCGTTTGCTGGGCAACAAATCCTGAAAATGTCTAGATGTCAACAGGAGTGTGGGGCAGGGCTCACACTGCTGTGTGTGCAATAGTACAGGATGTGCATTGGGAGTTCCTGACTTTTCTGGCCACAGTTCTCCCAGAGGTCAAGGGGCAGGTGTGTGGTGCTGTGGGAGGAGGGCCAAGGAAAGCCTGCAGTTGTGGCCAGGGTCATTCCCAGCCATCCTAAACCAGATAGAATAGGAAGTATTGGTGGGGACATGGTAGGCTCTGTGTGTTGCTGCTGCAGGGCACACATGGGAGGCTGATTCCATGTGTGGATGGGATGGGGTCAAGGGACTGATGCCAAAGGGGAACAGATGGCAACTCTCAAGGATTTTTGTAAATGACGACACAGAAGCCTGGAGGAAGAGCTAGCCTGCCCTCTGGCAATCCTGGCCACCTACCCAGACCCTCTGACTCGGGAGCTCTAGTGGTTCAGTCACTTATCCTTTGTAGTGATTTGGATTTAGCCCCTAGAATGTTGATTCAGAACTCCTGCCTAGTTGGGGGGTAGCCCAGTCACCACTGTGCTGGGTGGGCCCAGCAGCCAACACTGCCAGCGTAAGGCTAGAAGATGCTTATGTCCGCATCCTTCTACTGTCTGGCATCACCAAGTTGTGGTCAAAATTGTAGGTTAATGGTATTCCTTAAACCAGAGTACCAGCATTGCTTGGGAACTTGTTAGAATTTTTTTTTAATGGGGTATTATTTTTTCAAATATTTTTTCCCACTTCCTGCTCTTTTCTAATTATTTTTCCCTCTGCCTCTCATCAGATATGCATTAGTTTGAGTTTGTCCTGGACCGTGACAATGTTCAGTTCATTTTCAAAAACCCTATTTTCTCTAAGTGCTTGATTTCATTAAAAATCTTTTTTTTTTTTTCGGGCTTCCTGGTGGCGCAGGGGCTAAAGACAGTGCTGTGAAGCTCTCACCAGCAGCATGAATTTGATCCCCAGCCAGGGAGCTGACCTACATGGCATATCAGACTTCTCCTGTCTCCCCCCTGCTCCCCACTCTGTCCCTGGTGAATCCTCTCACTCCCTGTACCTCTCGCCTACACCCCAGTTCTTGTATGCATAAATAAATAAATCTTAAAAAAAAAACATAAAAAGCTTTTTTTAAAAAAATCTTTTTTTCATTGTTTCATTTTATGTTGTTGCTATTTAGATTCTTTCTATTTCTAGATTGATTCAGATTGAGTCTATTGTTATGTTTTCATCCTTTCTCCTAATTTGCTTTTAATCCTATCATGTATATTTCGTCTTGTATATTGTGATTTTTATCTATAGATATTTCAAATGATATAAAATTATATCATCCTTGTCTCTATAAAACAGTTGTAATAACTGTTTCACTGACCTTGCCTGCAAATTCTGATATCTGCAACAGTTGCAAATCAGTTTTAATGGATTGATTGAACTCCTCTTAGTGAATACAGGACTGTATTTTTCTGCTTCTTTGCTTACATGGTAACTTTTGATTGGGTGTCAAATATTTGTGGATTTTCATCTTGTTTGTGCCTGAATATTTTAGTATACCTATAAATTTTCTTGAGCTTTATTCTGGGACACAGTTAACTTATCCAGAATCAGTTTTATCCTTTTAGGCCTTGTTAGGTGGGCAGGCCAGAAGCTGTAACCAGCATATGGCTAAGTATTCTCTGCTACTCAGGCAAGATCTTTCTGTCTACACTTCCTAGTGCCGTGACTTTTGAGATTCTACCAGGTAGGTCCTGGGAATAAGCACTGATCGCCCTTTGTGAGCTCTGTCTTCCCTGATCCTTCTGTTTGATTCTTCTCACACACGTACAGGGTCTCTGTGACTCCGTTCTTTGGTCTTCTGTCCCATGAATTCTGGCTGCCTGGTCTCCCCAGACTCTCAGCCCACCTTCTCAGCCAGGAAATCTATCTGACTCTGCCCAGGCCCCCTCCCTGTATAGCATCCTAGAGACTCCAATCAAATGAGGGTCCACCTCAATTTCTTTCCTGTCTCCTAGCAATCACTGCCCTTTGTTTTCTGAGGCTCAGTGTCTTGAAATCCATTATTTCATGTATTTTGTCTGGAGTTTTGGTTGCTATGTATAGGAGGTAAGCCTGAACACTATTGCTTGGTCAGGTGTAGAAATACAGTTCACTTTTCATTGTTGATTTATATGTTTTTTATGAAGTCTGGATTTGAGTTGTATGTTGGATAAATGTATTGCCTACCTACTTTCCTAATGATATCCTAATGATAAAATATCAGGATATTTTATTTTATTTTATTTTAACAAAGTATAGTTTAGCTACTCTTTATTTTATGGTGTGTTCCTTCTGCATCTTAGCCATAAAGTGTGAGCCTACTTTACCCCAAGGTCATACATATATTTTCTTCTGTTTGCTTCTAGAAACCTCCTGATTTGGGGTTTTATGTTTAGCTCTATGATTTACCTCAAATTAATTTTTGTATATGGTGCCAGGTAGGGGTTGAGATTTGTATCCCCCCCTCCTCCATATTTCTAGTTGTTCTAGCATCATTTATTGGATGGATATTCTTTTGCCTGTTGCATTACTTGGTTGAAATTCAGTTGAACATATAAATGTGGGTCTATTCTAGATGCTTTATTACCATCGATCTGTTTGTCTGTCTTGATGCCAACAACTACACTCTCTTAATTCATGCAGCTTTTTATCATTAGCAGTTGTTAAATCAGGAGGAGTAAGTCTTCCATCTTTATTCCTTCTCAGGACTGCTTTAACCATCTTAGTTCATTATGTGTACATATTACATTTTAGAGTCAACTTGTTAATTTCTATTAAACAAAAACATGCTGGGATTTTTGATTGAATCTGTATTGATTCTTTTGGTCATTTGGAGTGAAATATCTTAACAGTGTTGAATCTTCAGTCAACAAACAGGGCATATCTTTCCTTCAGGTTTACATAGCTTCTCTCAGCACTGTTCTGTGGTTTTTGAGTCTAGGTATTACACATTTTTCTTCCTTTTGTAAAAAAAGCTTTTATTTACTTATGCATACAAGAACTGGGGTCTAGATCAGAGGTGCATGAGGTGAGAGGATTCACCAGAGACAGGAGTGGGGAGCAGAAAAGGCAGATTTACTGAAATACACTGATGAGGGGAACAGCCAGCGAAACAGGAGAGGTCTGCTGCGCCATGTGGGACTCTCCCTGGCCAGCTGGGAATTGAACCATTGCTGCAAAGGCTGCAGACAGCTTCACAGCTCTGCGTTCAACCCACTGATCCACCAGGGAGGCCGCCTTTTGGATGTTCTTTACATATAATTTTGTCATTTACAAATACTGTTTTTTTCTTTTTAATCTGTACATCTTTTATTGCTTTTTTTAAAAAAAGATTTATTTATTTATGTATATAAGAACTGGGGTACAGACTAGAGGTGTGGGGAGTGAGAGGATTCACCGGAGAGAGTGGGGAATAGAACAGGCAGACTGACTGAAATACATTGCTGAGGGGAGCAGCAGGAGAGACAGGAGGGGTCTGCTGCGCCATGTGGGTAGCTCTCTGGCTGGCCGGGGATCAAACTTGTGCTGCAGTGGCTACGGATAGCTTCATAGTTCTGCGTCTTAACTCCTTGTGCCACCAGGGAGGCGCCATCTTTTATTGTTTTTACTGCTGTAATTTATTATTGCTATAAAAACGACTTTTAATGACTCAGGCATTTTTAACCCAGTCTTCAAGTAAAATGACCCTCTAGTCTAGAAGGTGCTCTCATGTAGCTTTGAAGGCTCTCTTACACTGTGGTGAGGCCCTGCAGTGTGTGGAGTCTATGGCCTGAGTCTGTGCTATGGGGATAGGGGGAGTGAACAAGAGGTGGGAGGGCCTGGATATGCACTGGTTTCCTAGTGATGAAGCCACCCAAGGGCCCGCACATCCTGCCTGGGGATGGACAGGTGGTGTTCCTGCACCTGGTGCAGGACTTGGGATTGAGGCTTAGTGCCTTTCCTAGTGTGATGGAGCAGGTGCTTCCTCCTAGCCCAATGCCAGCTCAAGCACTGGAATGTGTTCTGCCCACGCCAGGTGCCCACTTCACCCTGGTATCTGTGGGCTCCTGTATCCAAGGGCTGCCTCACCCTGTAGTTCGGGTCCCTGCTGCACAACTAGGGCTGTTGGGCTGAGCAGGCATCTTCCCAGGGTGTGGGTTCAGGATTGGCTGGCACCCACCGTGCTGGACACTACTGATGGTTACACTTCTGTCTACTGCAGGACTTGACATGGAAGAAGGCAAGGAAGGGGGCACTTGGCTGGGCATCAGCACAAGAGGGAAGCTGGCGGCACTCACCAACTACCTGCAGCCTAGGCTAGACCGAGAAGCCAGGGGCCGAGGTACTGGCCAAGAGGGGGGTAGTGCTATAGGAAGGTGGGGGCTGGGAGGAAGTATGGGGGGGTGGTCACTGGCTCCTGCTCTGTCACCTGCTGGTTGACTTCACTGTAGGATTCACCCTCAGGCTGCCCTAAACTGCACCTACTAGTGCAGACAGGGCTTGCCCCTCTCAGAGAGCATGTTCTACTCTTGCCACTAGCCAAGGTATCACTCCTCATAGTTGTATCATTGCCTCCCAACTATCCAATGTTTCTCAATCAGCTGCCCAGGGAGGACAGCTCCAAGGACACACATTGTCCCCATTGAAGTTTTTTTTTCCTTCATGCTCACCTATGGGGTATAATGAGGAAAAAATTAAAAAAAAAATAAATAAATACAGAATTCTCTTTCTCTTTTTTAATTACCCATGTATGTTTTATTAATAAACACTAACAGTGCCATGCTAAACAAGTTAGACAATTGAAGTCACTTTATATTCCATAAATATTACAGAAAAGTTTGTGTTTCAATAAAAAGACTTGTTTTAGAACAGGCAACTAAGAGCAACTGAGCAGTTAATGATCGTTATCAATAAACTGTCCTGAAATGCTTACTCTTGTTATAAAAAAAAAAAAAGAGCTATTAAAAATGATTCACAAATTTGGAGTTTAAAAAAATGGAAAACAGAGTTCTAAATGCCATCCTCCTTGGCTGCTAGGTTAATGAAGTATGACCAACATGGGAGGGGGCCAGCCCAGGAGGGCCTCCTAGTCTCTGTAGAGAGGAGGACTCAGCCCTGCTACCTCAGCTATGGGTGTGTATCCCCTACCCGCAGGTGAACTTGTGGCCCACTTTCTGACCACCGATGTGGATAGCTTGTCCTACCTGAAGAAGGTCTCCACAGAGGGCCACCTATATAATGGCTTCAACCTCATAGCAGCCGACTTGAGGTGGGTGTACAGGGTATCACCGTGGGCTAGAGTTATGGGCTTGGTAGGAAGTGGGGCTCTTGCCACACTACTCTTTGACATCGTGATGGCCTCTCCAGGGACATCCCTCTGGATGGGTTTGGTGAGCATCCAGAGGACTGAAACCCTCCCGGACCCACTATTGTGGGGACTTGGAGAGCAGATTTGGGGGCTTCCTAGGACAATGAGAGCTGGGGGCATGACTGCAGAGGGCACTCTGCTGGTATCTGGTACCCTTAACCTATGCTAATCTCTCAGCTCCCATATCTCCTTGCAATGTTTGTGGCTGAGGAGCAGATGGTCCCTAATGCCTGTCTGGAGTTGTCAAGGGCAGCAAAACCATGCAAGTGACCCATGGCCCTCACCAGTGAATGTGGAAGCCTAATTGCCCCTCTGCAAAAAGGAGAGGGCTGGAGTGTACTGCCCTTACGACTGAAGAAGTAGGTCCCCCCAGGCAAGTGCTGGGCTTGGAGCTCCAGGGGTACCTGTGCTGGCTGTGAGGCTGACTGTGATATTAGGACTTCGCAGGGGACCTGAGTCTTGTGGAAAATGCAGCTGAAACATTGCCAGGCCTACCTGGGGCACACAGATGCAGAAGGGGCTGATGGCTATAACTGGATGGCTGTGGGGGTGCATGCAGAGCCTCAGTGCTGCTCTCAGCAGGTCCTGACTGCCACCGTGTATGTGCCTGACACTGCTGAGCTTAGATAGGCAGGTGGCCTGACCAGGGTCCCTGCTGGTGTGAGGAAGGGCTGGGTCCTGTGGCACAGCCGTGGGTACCTGACTGGGCTCATGGATGCCCCTAAAGACAGCCACTGCCTCCCACCAATCAGGGACCAGGTAAGGAGTTGCTGTTGGCTTGGTGCCCTAGACACCTGCCTATGGTATCTGCATTTCCATCTGAAGTGCAGGTACCAGGCACTGGCTGGCCACCATCAGGCCATGACCTGGCTTCTGAGAGTTTGTTTATTTCTCTTTTTTTTAAAGATTAATTTATTTATTTATACAAGCACTGGGCACAGTCAGAAGCGCGGGAGGGTGAGAGAATTCACCAGAGCCAGAGCAGGGAGCAGAGCAGGCAGAAGGACCGAAGTACACTGCTGAGGGGAGCAGCGGGCGGCAGGAGAGGTCTGCGTGCCATGTGGGACCCTCCTCCGGTGGCCGGGGAGCAGCTGGGGATCGAACCAGTGCTGCAGAGGCAGCGGGCAGCTTTGCAACCCAGCGCTCAACCGCTGCGCCACCGGGGAGGCCCAAGAGTTTGTTTATTTCTGTGGCTCCCAGACCTGGACCCTGGCCATGCCCAGCACCAACTCAGGCACCAAATACACAGACTACCTTTAACCCTGGGCCTGTCATTTGCTGCCATTTCCTTAGTGCCATCTGAGGAGCAGGTGCTACCTGTGGCATTGGTGTGACCTGCCTCCTTTGGTAGATATTTAGCCCCCAGGTGAAATGATATTTGGTGCACAATGCAGATTAGTGGGAGTCATGAGGAACCCTTGTCCCCTGAGTGGGACGCCAGATCCTGTACCAGGGTCACCAGTCAGATGCTGGTGAAAAGGGGCAGGGTGTGGGCAGCTGCCAAGGCTCAACTACAAGTGTGCAAACAAGTGAGAGAATGCTATTGTATATGGCAGAACATGCACAGGGGAGGGAATAGCAGTGGTGTAAAGGGAGGCTCACGTGGGAGGTCCTTGCTGGGTGTCCACCCCTCTAATACCCAAGGTTTCTCAGCACAGTCCTTGTACCTTGGTGGATTCAGGCTTTGGTGAGAGCAACCCTGATCAGCCTAACCAGAGTGGCCTGGATGAAATGCATTAGAGATGTGGTCACCAGGAACTGCCCTCCAATGCAGTGAGCATCCAATGCTCCCTTCCATCTGTCCTCTGCTGTCTACTGCTGGCACCCTTCCCCCTTTAATGTCCCAGAAGCTGGTGGATGCCCTTGGTGTTTGGTCAGTGGTGAGCCTGTTTGAACCTGCAGGTTCATTGTGCTGAGTGTCCACTGTGTGTGGTGTGGTTGGCCTGGCACTGCCTTGCAGATAGATGCTTTTTTCCAGAGGGTGGGGTGTCCCGTAAGCAGGACTGGGAATGTGGGCTGGTGCTCAACCAGGTACTTGCTGCCCTGAAAACTCTCCTTCCACCTTGACTGCTCAAATTTGGATGGCTCCATTTGGGGGGTTGGGGGTCCCTGCGCCCTCGCTGCTCCCTCCAGCTTAGGACTCACTTTGGCTGTCAGTAGTTCTGTCTATGTCTGACCTGACCTGGGAGAATGGTCCCTATCCTTGGCAGGACTTAGTGCCTGGCAGCCTTATCAAGTGGCTGGGTAATAAGAGCACTGTGCTCTGAGTGGACTCATCCAAAAGCAGGTGACTCCCTCTAGTGCAGGGCCAGAGGGGTGTGTCCCTTGAAGCTTGAGCAGCTTTCCTGGCTCCCAGGACTACAGTGTCATGGCCTGCCTCCCTGAACATAGACCATGGAAGCAGGTGGAGGCCAGGAGAGCCTACTGGGTTATGCCTGAGGGACAGATGGAACTGATAGGAGTGTCCTGAGGGCCAGGTGGCAGCTGGTGCCCAGGGCTGAGGCCAGAAGGCAGAGGCAGTCAGAGGGCAGAAAGCAGCCTGTGGTTGGCCCCAGGAGGATGTTAAGGCAAGAAGAGAGACTTATCCCCACCATGGCCAGTCTCTGGGTTAGGCCTCCTTCCACTCAAGCAGGTGTAGTGGGAGTAAGGGTCCAATCCTGAAGGTCCTTATGCTTTCCAACTTTTTGTCTGCAAACAAAATCTCTGCGGTCATTAGTAAATGTCTTAAGAAGGGAGCCAAGGGCTGTGGTGAGGAAGAATGTGAACAGAATGTGAAGGTGTGTGGGGGTCTGGAGTTCTGCCTGCTGGGTGGCATTGAGCAGGAGGAACAGGCCAGGGTGGGCATGGTGAGTAGCTCCCTCAAAACCTACTGTCCAGCCCTTTCTCTACATTTGTGCATCCAAGGCACAGCTCTGTGTTCAGCACAACACCCAGAAGGTGGTTCATAGACCAGGAAGTCCCTCTTTACTTTGCAGTAGAGAGAGGCATTCCAAGTTTTAGCAGAAGAATTTACTCTTGTATTTAGGAATTGAACATCTTCACCCAGGCCATTTTAAGGTATTTAAAAATATATATATATATACCCAGTCTATAAAAGAGGAAAAATGTGGTCCTTAGTGCTTTGTTGAGAAGTCTTTGTCACCCCAGGGTACCTGTCCCAAATGGAGGAGCTCACAGATGAGCTGCAGGGGAACGACCATGGCCTTTGGAGGGATCAGCATTCATGAGTATGAGGCTCAGCCCTCTGTGGGGGAGGCAGGAGGATATTTCAGATATTACTCCCAGACTGCTGGTTCCTGTGGGTGTTGGTGACCCTGCTGGTTCCTAGGGGTGTTGGTGACCCTGCTGGTTCCTAGGGGTGTTGGTGACCCTGCCTATAAGGTCCCTATAGGCCTGTATCCCTGACTTGTCCCTGCCCTGGCCACGTGCCTGGGCCCCTGCTGGGCATGAGGCTGTGGAGATTGCCAGGCAGTGTGGGGGCAGGACACCCAGTGGCTCTGGTCTGATCCTCTCTCCTCTCCATCCACAGTACAACGAAGGGAGATGTGGTTTGCTACTATGGAAACCGTGGGGAGCCAGAGCCTGTTGTCCTGGCACCAGGTGAGCCTGCCCTGGTGGGTAATGACTAGGTTTGGGTGATCCTATGGGAACACCTCTGTACTTTTCAGAGATACAGTTACTTTTTTATTTCTCTTTATGGCCTGTACTGGCTTGTGGCTTTACCAGGTCCACATGTCAAACTGCCCACAACTTATGCCACCTTTCCCTAGGGGTGAGCTCATTGCCATCTGGAGAGTGTTAGAAAATGAACGCATTGGGCCTCCCCGGTGGCGCAGCGGTTGAGCGCTGGGTTGCGAAGCTGCGCGCGGCCTCTGCGGCGCCGGTTCGATCCCCGGCTGCTCCCCGGCCACCAGAGGAGGGTCCCACATGGCGCGCAGACCTCTCCTGCCGCCCGCTGCTCCCCTCAGCAGTGTGCTTCGGTCCTTCTGCCTGCTCTGCTCCCCGCTCTGGCTCTGGTGAATTCTCTCGCCCTCCCGCGCTTCTGACTGTACCCAGTGCATGTATAAACAAAACAAACAAACAAACCAGCAAACAAATAAATAAAGCATGCCTCTATTAAAAAAAAAAAAAAAAAAAAAAGAAAATGAACGCATAGAAGAATGCAGAGAATCCCATCCCCACCCCCTATTCTATGCATTAGCCCTTGTGGAAGCAGCTGGATTCTTAGTACTTAAGAGCACCTGGCTAGTAATGCTTGTTTTCTGTTAAATTGTTCAGGAGAAATTTTTTTTTTTTTTAAAGATTTATTTATTTATGCATACAAGAACTGGGGTACAGGCCAGAGGCGCGGGGGGTGGGAGGATCCACCAGAGACAGAGTGGGGAACAGAACAGACAGACTGACTGACGTACACTGCTGAGGCGAACAGCAGGTGAGACAGGAGGGGTCTGCTCGCCATGTGGGTATCTCCACGGCCGGTGGGGATCAAACTGGCACTGCAGAGGCTGCAGACAACTTCACAGAGCTGCTCTCAACCGCCTGCACCACTCAGGAGGCCCTGGATGTTGTAGTGTTTGTTACTTCAGTCATCCATTGATGGTTACTTGAGTTGTTTCTTCATTTTGGTTTTTGTGGATGGTGCTGCTCTGAAAATTCATTCAGTTCTTTCTTTTCCTTTTCCTAATAAACCTGTCTATTTAAATTGTTAAAAAAAAAAAAAACACACCCCTCCCACACAGAAAATCTATTGCAGATTTTTGTGTGGATGCATGTTTTCATCTCTTTGTGTTTATACATAGGAGTGGACTTGCTGGATCATAAGGTAACTGATTAACCTGCTGAGGAACTGCCAAAATGTTTTCCAAAACAACTGTACAATTTTACATCTCTATCAGCAGGGTATGAGGTTCTAATTTCTCCACATTCTCACCAACATTTGTTATTGTCTGTTTTATTAGGGCCATCCTAGTAGTATCTTGTGGTTGTTTTGTTTTTTGTTTTTTTTTTTGGCAGCTTTTTTTTTTTACCTTGTTTTTAGATTTATTTATTTATTTATTTATTTATACAAGCACTGGGTACAATCAGAAGCACGGGAGGGTGAGAGAATTCACCAGAGCCAGAGAGGGGAACAGAACAGGCAGAGTGATGAAATACACTGCTTAGGGGAGAAGCGGACACAGCAGGAGAGGTCTGTCGCGCCATGTGAGACCCTCGCCCGTGGCTGGGGATCGAACCTGCGCTGCAGAGGCTGTGGGCAGCCTCTCAGCCCAGCACTCAACCGCTGCGCCACCAGGGGAGGCCTGCAGCTTTTTTTTTTTTTTTTTTTTAAGATTTATTTATTTATACAAGAGCTGGGGTACAGGCCAGAGGCCTGGGCCGGTGAGGGAGTTCACCAGAGACAGAGCAGGGAGCAGAACAGGCAGAAGGACCGAAGTACGCTACTGAAGGGAACATCAGGCAAGACAGGAGAGGTCTGCCTCACCATGTGGGAATCTCCCTGGCTGGCTAGGAATCGAACCGGCGCTGCAGAGACTGTGGACAGCTTCACAGTGCTGCACTCAATCTGCTGTGCCACCAGGGAGGCCCAGTATCTTGTGGTTTTAATATATATTTCCTTGATGGCCAGTCACATTGAGCACTTTTGGGGGTGTTTATTCACCATTTGTATGTGTTCTTTGGAGATGTATCTTTTCAAATCCTTTGCCCATTTTAAAATTGGTTGTTTTATGTCTTATTATTGACTTGTAGAATATCTTCATATAGTTTAGTTACAAGTCCCTTATCAGATTTATAATTTGAATAAAATTATCTCCCTTTTCGTGGGTTGTCTTTCTTCTTGGTATGTTTTGAAGCACAGTGTTTTTTGTTTTTTGTTTTTTGTTTTTATAGAGGCATGCTTTATTTATTTGTTTGTTTGGTTATACATGTACCGGGTACAGTCAGAAGCGCGGGAGGGTGAGAGAATTCACCAGAGCCAGAGTGGAGAGTAGAACAGGCAGAGTGACCAAGTACACTGCTGAGGGGAGCAGCAGGCGGCAGGGGAGGTCTGCGCGCCGTGTGGGACCCTCCTCCAGTGGCCGGGGAGCAGCCGGGGATCGAACTGGCGCTGCAGAGACTGCGGGCAGCTTCGCAACCCAGCGCTCAACTGCTGCGCCACCGGGGAGGCCCAACAGTGTTTTAAATTTTGATGAAGTTCAAGATAAGAATTCATTGCCTAATCTAAGGTTGTGTAGTTTTTAGGAATTTTAAAATTCCTTTAGGAATTTTAAGGCTTTAGCTCTCATGTTTAGGTCTTGGGGACATTTTGAATTGATTCCTGTGTGTGGTATGAGGTAAGGGTCCACCTCCGTCATTTGCGTGAGGCTACTACGTCTTTTCCACTGCTGTAGTGTGGGTTCCTATGAGCTGATCACTCGTGGAAAACTGTGACCTATTTGCTATCTGCAAATCACAACACAGCATCCATACTTGAATACCTACTGAGTGTAGCCCATATTGCGTTGCAGTCTTTTGGGAGATCTTGACCAAGTCTGATGTGATGCCAGTCACTTATAGGAAGACAGTTCAGGCACCACCAGGCACCCACGGCACTGCCACCAGCCTCAAATATCACGATGGGTATGGATGTGGAGAAATTAGAACCAACTAGAATGTCGTGGGCCTCCTTTGACCTGATTACATGACTATCTCCATGGTGGTCTCAGGATAACTCTGCCTGTGGTAACATCAGCACATATGCAAGTGTCTCTTGACATATGGTCATGATGTCGCCTTCTCTGTTCCTCGTAAGATTTTGTCCCTCATTCCAATCCCACCCTCCAGACTTTATTCCTTATACCATTGTCACATGATCAGCTTTTAGTAGCCTGTATGCTTTCAATAAATGGCACAAGAACTTATGCTCAAGTAGCAGAGTTTTGCCATACAAACCTGCTCCACCACTGTCATGTTCCTCACTGCGTTCCCACGACACTCTAGTTGGTTCTAACTTCTCCACATCCATACCCATCATGATATTTGAGGCTGGTGGCAGTGCCATGGGTGCCTGGTGGTGCCTGAGCTGTCTTCCTATAAGTGACTGGCATCACATCAGACTTGGTCAAGATCCCCCAAAAGTCTGGCAGCATCAGAGGATGGTAAGAATCAGTGCATCTTTCAGTGTACATGACTCCAGACTTACCTGTCACTGCTGAGCCCCTTAAGAGGCTCAGAGGGGCCTTTCCACCCGTAGTTCATGCCTCTCCTTCTTTTTCTTTCTTTCTTTCTTTCTTTTTTTTTTTTTTTTTGGCCTTCTGTTACCCTCTGTAACTTTGTTCTGAGAAACTAGCCCTAAAGCCCCATGGCTCCCCTATCCTGGATCCTGGCATGTGTGCAGGCCCTGCCGGTACCACTATGTGGGACTAACCCATGTTGGCAGGCTCCCAGACTGCTGACCTATAGAAGGTGGGCATCCCCTGGCCTTAGCTTGCTGATTTTCCCAACCTTCATCTTCTCAGGTGGACTTCCACCTTGCAGCTATTTCCTACTTAGGGATAGGATTGAGATGAGGAGATGATTCCCTTGCAAGTTTCCCCCTTTTCTTCACCCAGTGGAATTCAGGTCATTTATTCTTTATTATCCTGCCCATCAAGGCCACCTGGCATATATGCCTTTTATGGATTCCTGTGGTCTCTCCTCATTGTATTGTCTTGCCATGCAGATGGGTTAGGAATGCCTACAGAGAAGGTGCCAGATCATGGGGTGTCCTGACCTCAGTCTCAGCCATGTCCCTACCACCTTGCATGTTGCTGGGTGATTGGGAGTTTACCCTCAGTCAGACAGTGGACTGCCTATTCTGACCCCTTCCTTACAGGGACCTATGGGCTGAGCAATGCACTGCTGGAGACCCCCTGGAGGAAGCTGTGCTTTGGGAAGCAGCTTTTCCTGGAGGTAGTGGAGCGGAGCGAGGCAGTTCCCAAGGATGCTCTTGTTGCCCAGCTCCTGGATGTGCTCAACAACGAGGAGGCGTGAGTTGGCCGGTCCCTCCACCTCTCCAACCCTGGGGCACACAGGGAGAGAGGCTCTGCTGCCCTGCGATGCCCTAAGAGATGTTCTCTGTCTCCTCCCCACCGATCACCTCCTTCCCCCAACAGCTGTCCCACCAGCCTTAGAGGTCTGATGTGGATGGTTTGCATGGGGCTCAAAGAAACTGGAGACACACAGAGGGCCAGTGGAAGATTTCAGAAGATTCCAGGTGGTTAGAAAATCACAGAAGTGAGCAGTCAGGGCTTGACTGTCTTTTACACATGCTGTTCTGCCAGTAGCCTTGGAACACCTGTCCCAGGACTTGCCCGGGGGGGAAGAAGCCACAGACCTGGCTTCCTCTTTCACAGGCCTTGAGGCATCTCAGGTGACTTCTACATGGGCATCTACACCAGGGATACCAAATATTTTCAGGTTATTTTGGTCTTCCTCTCACATAGTGATGCAGCCCATACCCCCCCTCTACCTTAGCCAAGCCACTCACTGTCTGCCCTGATAGCCCAGTGGCCTCTTGCAGGAGCCCCCTATGGCCTATCTCCCTCTTCTCTCGCCTGAGACCCTACCTATTACTGGATCTCTGTTGCTCTCCTCTCTGAAGCATGGCACCTGGGGATCCCTGCCTAGGCCTGCCTGCTGAGCTCACATGCATTGTCTTTCATCCCTGCAGACCCATGACTGGGTCCTAGGCTATTGTTATTGATGGTTGTGGCCCTGGTACTGGCCCACAGATGCCCAGAGGGGACCTCTTGAGGCAAGTATGTGGTTAGGTAATCACATCCATTAACCAAGCTAATGCCCACAGCACCCATACCCATTCAGTTCTCACCAAGGGGAGGGTGGGCAAGCTCTCACCAAGAGAGTCTCACCAAGAAAGAGGGCTTCTCTCCTTCCCCTGGGGGCCCTGGGCTTTTTCTCACCCAGCAGAGTCTTCCCCAGTGCCCAGCTTACTGGTGCTCATGTCACTAGGGTCCTAGGTCCTGGGGGAAAGCTCCTGGTGAGTGGGTTGGGGTAAGTGGTCTTGCAGTTAGTCCTAAATGAAAGGCTTGATGGAGATTTTAGGCTATAAACAGGAAAGTGCATGGAAGAAAACTTGTTCTTCTAGAGGCTGGTAGCTCTTCAGGTACTACAGGGCATCAAGGATAACAGGCAGGCAGGCAGGCTGGGGTATGGGTAGCTAGCAAGGAAGCTGGCATGGACCCCTATTCTGTCCTTTCAGGCAGTTGCCAGACCCAGCCATCGAGTCCCAGGGAAGGGAGTATGTGAAGCCCATTCTGAGCAAGTATGCAGCTGTGTGTGTGCGATGCCCAGACTACGGCACCAGGTACGGAGGATTACCGGGCACATCCGGGCCTATTCCATGAGGAACCTGGGGTTCCCTGCACTCCTTGGATCCCAGAGTCTCTTCCTTGTCCAGAAGTGGCTACCATTTCAGCTCAGGGACTGTGGGGTGAGCAGATGCCACAGTTAATGGTCATATACAAAAGGACTATTGGCTCCCAAGGGTGTTGCAGGCCAGACACAAGGCCCTTGTGGCAGCTGTTGCTTTCTAGGGGGGTCAGGAGGGCCTCTTAGACCCAACACAGTCACAAGGGGTTGGATTGGCATCGAGCATGCTCATGTCAGCAAATCCCTGTGAGCCCAAAGATCACTGCTTGCCTCTTCCCCTCACTCACCTGTGTCCCTGGCCTGTTATGTCCTCTGTGTGACCAGGCCAGGATTAGATCATCTCATACCAGGGATGTCACCTCACCCCGGAAAAGGGTAACCATTGGTCTTGGCCTAAAGGTGAGGATATTTGGGGAAGAGAGCCCTGGCTTTATGCTTTCCAGGCAAGTTCCTTCCTTGTCTCCCCTTTTCCTGGCTGTGTGGACTGGGAGTACTGACTGGCCCATCTGAGGACCCACATACTGCACTTGGAGATGGCTTGGAGGGAAGGCTGCTAGACAGACTGATGCTCCTAGAGTGCTGCATGCCTAGCCTGTCTTGCCTGGAGGTGGAGCATTGCTATAGGCATAGACATCTCTACTGAGACTTGGCTATACTGGCTTGTTATGGACTCTGTGAGTGCTAGCCTTGTGCTGGACTGGGGATCTGCAGTGACTATGATGGATGGGACCTGTCCTCAGGTTGCCATAGCCACTAAGGACTTGGGCCTGGTGATATCAAGCCAACTGGTGTCAGGGTGATATCACATATACACCTGCTTTTCAGGTTTAGGTCCAATGAGATTGGGTGAGTAAGGCCCCTTTTATCCCCACAGGTGGGAAAGGTTAAGTTGTTAATGTCTCCATGCAGGGGAAGAGGTGGCTCCCCCAGGCAACTGTGAGGTGACTGCCATGGTGACATGGTCATGTCTCTGCTGAGTCTGAGAACATTGTACAGGGGACAGACGTGAAGGTTTGGAGACCAACCTTCAGTTGACCGAGAGGGCAGCAGTCCTGAGTCTTCCACTCCCCACGCCTGGGAAATGACAGCTGGGGGGCAGACATGATGGTCAAGTGTCATGTAGTGTTAATGCCAGGCATTGATGCTCCAGGTCCCAAGGGAGGTTCCCCTGAAGAGTGACCTTTGTACCTGGATCGGCCATTCCCTTAGTAGGCACAGAGACATCATTTCCCTCCAGCCTCTCCTCTGTCATAGGCTTATTTCTGTGACTAAATTGTATGCTCAGTGTGCTCATGTGCATGTGGCAGTACCCGGCCTACTCCTGGGGGAGGGAGAGGTGTACATGTGGTTGCTGGGGCCAACAGGAACCCTCAGTCTTGAATATGGACATGCCCACCCTGGGTATCAGCCTTCGTTGGGCTGCTTAGGGACTGGTGCCTGCCCCTGGGGGTCATGGCAGGGGTGGGAGGTAGGGAGACAGGCAATAATGAAGTGAGGACACACTGCTGTGGGGAGGGTTAGAGGGGAGAAGGTACACTGAGCATTTGGGACAAGACGGTAAGGAAGGGGGACAGAAGGGAGCATTTCAGGTGAAGGAGGCCTGGTCCCCAAGCAGTTGAAAGTTTGACATCTTAGAAGAATCCAGTACAGCTTAGTGTTGTGTTGCCCAGAAGCCCTAGGGAGTTCTGAATGGGAAAGTGCCTGGTAAGCCTAGGGCCTTCCTTTTGAGAGTGGTGGGTAGTTGGGGCTTACACCTCAGAGTGTGTTCTGGCTAGATTCACAGGACATGGGCCTACAGGGCTGATAGGGGAGCCCCAGTCTCCACTAGATCTGTACTTAGATTCCCCTGATAGGCCCCTTCACTCCCCAAGACTGAGGTTGCTCATTCATGACTAGTGACCAAAGGCCAGGCTGTGTCTAATACAGACTCCAGCAGTGGTGAGCTTGTGCCTCGTGCCTCAGATATAATCCCAGCTGGGACTGTGAAAGGTGGGCAGAGGACTGAGGACAGCAGGCTGAACACGAGCCCCATATTCTCTTTCAGAACCAACACAGTCATCCTCGTGGACGCAGATGGGCACGTGACCTTCACAGAGCGCAGCATGCTGGATAAGGATCCCTTCTGCTGGGAGACCAGAACTCATGAATTTAGACTGCAGAGCTAACTCTCCCCCTTGGGGAATGCCCGCCTCAAGGGCCTGTGCAAATGGAAACCTTTCACAGTCACATGTGACTCTGCCGGTGGCCCCTAGAATCAGGGCCCTCTTATTTGTGTGTCATCTATGTTCCATGTTAGGGTTTGCCCTTTTATCAGTGGAGGATGACAGAGCTCCACAGCCACATTTGGAAAGAGGCATGAGTTAGACTGGAGTAAAACCTACTCTCAGGAGCAAAGCCTGGTTGATGGATTCAGTAGTTTGTGTGTGTGTGTGTTGGGGGAAGATTTTGTGCACTGGATGGTCCTTTGTGCTTGGGGGCACTGTGTGTGTGTGTGTGTGTGTTCCACACATATGAGTGGTCTTATGTATGCTGGGCACTTGGTAGACCTGTGCCCATTCATTGGAAGTCATGGGTGCTGAGTAGGCCATTTCAGCAAGGGGACACAATCAGTTCCTGTCATTTCTCTTCTTGGGGAATCAAATTTCATTGAAATCTGTACTTGAATGTGAGACACTGATAATAAAACTTCCAAGATTGTGGTGAGTCAGTAACTTGTGTGGCAGGCCAATTGGCAATGTGTGCACATGGCTGGTGAGGATTGCTCTCCAGGCCTTCAGGGTCACCTGATGAGGCACAACCACCAGTACAGGCTCTTTCTACTTTTTCCTTTTGCTCATGGCAGCCTCAGTGCCATAATGGAAGCCTGAGGGTCCATGAACCTGTCTGTCTGTCTGTCCTTGGGCAGAGGCTGTACCAGAGAGCCTGTGTGCACGGGACAAGCTAGGTGCCAATTACAGGGGCTCCTGAGCTTGGTGAAGGAGCCAGGGATTCATCTGAGTCCCATGAGGAGCCCCCTCGGGAGCACTGTAGTCAGGCCTACACTTTGGACTACTGCTCTTTTGTCTCAGTGGGCTGCCCCACAAGTGACAGTGTCCTGTGCTGGCATTCAACTGGCCAGGCATGTCCATCCTCATGGGGTACCACTGGGCCTGGTGCAAAGCAATCTAAAGAACCTCTCAAAATGTTTACCTCTGCTCCAGGATGGAAACAGCCCAGGGAAAGTTTCACCAGCACTAGTCTCAGATGCTCTCTGCCCTTATCCAACCCCAGGCTTTCCAATGTCCTGGGCTCCCCAAAGAAGGGGCAGTTTAAGATGTAGATTCTGTTGGTATGGGTTAAGTTGTTGCCCCCCTCCCCCCAAAACAGGTTAGCATCCTAGCCCCTAATACCTTATTTGGGTCTTTACTGAGGTAATCAAGATAAAATGGGGTCATTATTCCAATATAGCTGGTATTGTATTGGATAAAAAGGGGAAATATTGACACAGAGACAGACATACATGGGGAGAGTTCCCTATGAAGACTGGAGCTCTGCTGCCATTGCCAAAGAAATACCATAATCTGGGAGAAAAGCTGGAACAAACCCTTCCCTGGCACTTTCAGAGGGAGCATGACCTTGATTTTGGGCTTCTGGCCTCTAGAACCATAATAAATTTTCAACCTTCCCCAATGAATGTAGTCAGTCTTAGCTGGTCAGTATGAAAACTTCTGATCAGCACCAACAAGATCATCTTTTCTATACCCAAAAGGAAGATACTGGGGTATCATTTAATGTTAAAAACTAAACCACCACTCCTTACCCAGCAGGCACTCACTTGTGGTACTTTTATTATGGCAGCCTTCGTATACTAATGCAACTGTGACTGTCTGTTACAGATGAGGAAACTGAAACTTGAGACACTAACAGTCCCTTGGACCTCTGGTGTGTAGGGTGGGGCCTTGCAGGGTGATGAACCTCAGGGTGCCTCCCCTGTAAACCCATGGTCCTCCCATGCTGGGCTCACCTGGTGCCTGGCAATCTTGCCACGTCAATTGCCTATGCCCCTGCCACTACTTATGGACAAGGCTCCTGCTTAAAGGGCCTTTGCACTCCATGTCCCCTCTGCGAAAGAATTCCTCACATCCTGCAGGCCCTTGAAGTTTTCGAAAGTTATCCCATTTATAAAGTAACCATTTCCAGGGGCCTCCTCGGTGGCGCAGCAGTTGAGCGCTGGGTTGTGAAGCTGCCCGCGGCCTCTGCGGCGCCGGTTCAATCCCCGGCTGCTCCCCGGCCACCAGAGGAGGGTCCCACACGGCGCGCAGACCTCTCCTGCCGCCCGCAGCTCCCCTCGGCAGTGTACTTCGGTCCTTCTGCCTGCTCTGCTCCCCGCTCTGGCTCTGGTGAATTCTCTCACCCTCCCGCGCTTCTGACTGTATCCAGTGCATGTATAACAAACAAAACAAAACAAACAAATAAATAAATAAATAAACATGCCTCTATATAAAAAAAAATAAAATAAAGTAACCATTTCCAAAAATAAATAAATAAATGAATGAATGAATAAATAAATAAATAAATAAATAGATGAAGTAACCATGTCCCCTGCCTTGGTCCCTGCTCTATTTTGATTCATTGTTTCTTATATGTCTCCTAGTCAGAACAAGTTTTCCAAAAGGGAAGACTTTCTGCTCTTGCCCACCATTGTGTCCTAAAGCCTGGGCCAGATAACTATTTGAAACAGGGATGACAGTGTTAGTGCTTCCTAAGTTCCTTGTTTATTTAGGCCAGTGCAGTGCCTTGAAGTGAGGCCCTTGTGCCGTTAGAAGGGTACAGGGACCCTAGGAAGCTGATCCCTTCTAGAAGTGCTTTAGACATGCCACCTAGTAAGACCTGGACCCGACCTTGGCATAATATTGTCAGTCCTCTGTGCTCATCTCCAGTGCATCTGGATGATCCCTGAGTTCTCCAGGTGAGTGGGGGAATTCACCCCATGCTCAAATACTTCTTCCTGTATCTGAGATGAGCTGTTTCTGCTCTCAGACTCCAAGTTGAGGTATGCAGACACACAGGCTGAAGGTGTGGGGCTAATGGATGTGGGGGCAAATCTATAAGCAAATGTGACTGTTTCAGGAATGTAACCTGGCTTTTGGCCTTTGTCCTGGCAATCCTGGGCTCCTAGTTGTAGTGCCAGGATGGGCACTGAGCAGGTTATCTATGATCCCGCAGACGGGTAGAGGAGACTTGGAGCCCTCTGGCTTTCTCAGGCTTTTATTGAGCTTTACATGCATCACAGCAACCAGGTACAATGGCAGGCAGGAGTGCCAGGGGGCCAGCATGCCTCCCATGGCCCACAGAAGTAAATAAGACAGTTTGCAACAATGTAATCACTGCAGATGCCCCCATCAGGTAGGGCAATCCTAATGGTGGCAGGGCAGAAAAGCCTGAAAAACCATTTACCCTATAATCCACCCCCTCAGGGGTTTCTGCCATATAATCTATATACGAGTATATATAAGTTTCCTTTAGCAAACACAAACACAGCAGCCCTGGCCCACAAATGAAAATACAACAGAATAATGAAACAATACAACAACATAAATAATTCCAGGAAGGGCACCAACCTAGCAGCAAAAGACAAGATTATTGGCACCAGCAGATGATCCACCACTTCTGCTGCTGAAGGCGCTGCTCATATGAGGGAGTAACCATCCGGCTGCGGTCTCCGCCACAAGCCTCATACTGCATCCACCCCCAGGATGCACTCACACTTGGATTGGCAATTCTGTATTCTTTGTGGGTAATCGCCTAATCCTCAGGGTTTTCTGTCTGTGGTCACTCCAACACTCGGCTTTCATAGGGACCAATCCGACACCCTGACCCCTGCACTCAGGCCAACCCATTGCACAAGCACATGGGTCGGGGATCCATGGATACAAGCTCCACATGCGGCCTCTCTTGGGTCCCCTTTTTGGCTGTGGGCTTCACCACAAGGCATGTTCCCCACCTGTCCCCCAAGGCGTGTTCCTCAGCTCGTCACCCTTACTCAACAGTGAGCAGGGTATCACCCACAGGTGATTTTAAGAGACTCACTGGCCTTCTTTAACATACTTAGGCTGCTTAACAGCCGCTCAGGGTTTCCCAGTCTCGGTACCAGCTCTTGCCTTTCTAAGTTGGCTTTTTGCCTCTACCTAGCTGCTAGGCAGTACACAGGCTGCTTTTGGCGATCAAGGCCCACTAGCCATCCCCAGATTCCCATCTCCTGGGGTGTCCAAACAATACCATCCTCCCCCAGGGTCCCAAAACATTACCCTGACAAAGTTCCTCCTCCTTCTGGTGGGATTGTCAGTCCAAGTCCATGAGTCCTTTCCTGTATCAGCACTGGCAAGCGCTGAATCATGGTCCTTCTGCCCCGACAATGTCTCTGGGGTCATTGGCTGTGCCTCTTGGGCTGTCTCCTCCTCCACTTGAGGTCTTGTCCCGCAGTTTCTGGACTTTGGTCATCACCTGTGCTCCTGCAGCATCTTCAGCTCTTTCTACAGCTCCTAGACTCTGGTTACCACCTGTGCTGCCATAGCACATACAGGGTAGTCACAGGCAAACACAATCTGCTCCTCCTGAGTCCCTCCTGAGGTCTTCGGAGGGCTCCATACCCGTCTGCATCCGAGCATCCTGCCAACTACACAAATTGTAGTGCCAGGATGGGCAGGTTATCTGTGCTCTGGCAGACAGGTAGAGTCTTGGAGCCCTTGGTGGCTTTCTCAGGCTTTTATTGAGCTTTACATGCATCGCAGCAACCAGGTACAATGGCAGGCAGGAGTGCCAGGGGGCCATCGGGCCAGGAGGCCGGTAGGCCTCCAAGGCCCTGGCAAGTCTTCACTCTGGGCTTCTCTGCTCTTTCTCCCCCTCTCTCTCCTACTTCTTTGGCTTCTTCTCCTGCTTCTCCTTCTCTTGGTGACTATCTCAATGCTCCTCCCATTGCCCACAAAAGTAAGCAAGATAGTTTGCAACAATGTAACAACTGCAGGTGCCCCATCAGGTAGGGCAATCCTAATGGTTGTAGGGCAGAAAAGCCTGAAAAACCATTTACCCAACACTAGTGTTCTGCCCTGAGATTCCCTAACACTGTCTTTTGGTCTCCTCTGCTTCTCTGAGGTAACCAGGGCTTGATGGGGGCATGCTGAGGGCACTGAGAGCACTGAGGCAAGCCTAGAAACTGGTCTAACCACAAGAAGACTGGCATCCCTTCATGTCATGGGCTCAGTAGGTGTCTGACCAGTGGGGCATCCAGTGAACAGAAGGTGGCAGAAAGGGAGAAAAGGGCCAGGGCTGGGGGTAGGAAGGGACAGAAAGGCCAGGGCAGGCTTCCAGCTTCTTTACCAGCAATACCCTTTCATCTTGTCTTTTTGAACATTACCTTTTCATTTTAAATGTCTTCTGCTTGAAAAAAAAAAAAAAAAAAACAAAGATTTTCAATATCCTTGACCCAGTTCCCCCAAATGTTAAACCTTACCTAATGACAGTAAAATATCCTAATCTGGAAAACAGCATATATACAATACTATTAACTGATCTATAGACCTTATTTGAATGTTATCAATTGTCACATTAATGTATGACAATTTCTTGAGCCAGGTGTGAATCTAGAGTCAAGATCCCATATGGCACTTAGTCGTGTCTCCTTTAATCTAAGAAGTTTCCTCAGTCCATCTTTTTTTTTTTAAGATTTTTTATTTATACAGGAATTGGGGTATAGGCCAGAGGAGTGGAAGGGTGAGAGGATTCACCAGTGACAGAGCAGTGAGCGGAACAGGCAGACAGACCGAAGACACTGCTGAGGGTAGCAGTGGGCAAGGCAGGAGAGGTCTGCCGTGCCATGTGGGTCTCTCCCTGGCCAGCCAGAAATTGAACCCGTACTGCAGAGGCCGCAGATAGCTCCACAGTGCTGTGCTCAACCTGCTGCACCACTGGGGAGGCCCTAAAGATTTATTTTTATTTATATAAGAGCTGGGGTACAGGCCAGAGGTGTGGGAGAGTGAGAGGATTCACCATAGAGCAGGGAGCAGAATAGGCAGACAGACTGAAAGCACTGCTGAGGGTAGCAGTGGGCAAGACAGGAGAGGTCTGCCGTGCCATGTGGGTATCTTCCTGGCCAGCCGGAAATTGAACCCGTGCTACAGAGACTACAGACAGCTCCACAGCACTGTGCTCAACCCGTTGCACCACTGGAGAGGCCCTCCTCAGTCTCTCTTTGAGTTGAACCATCTTGACACTTGAATAGCACTGGCCAGTTTTATGGTGGAATGCCACTCATTAAAGTTTGTATGATCTTTATAATTGCATTCAGGTTTTGCCTTTTGAGCAGAAATATTCACGAGTGATACATGTGCTTCTCAGGAAGCTGAAAATATGGGCCTTTATTGGTGCTAACTTTTTTCTTCTTCATTTTTTTTTTAAGATTTATTTATTTATTTATACGAGCACTGGGTACAGTCAGAATCGCGGGAGGATGAGAGAATTCACCAGAGCCAGAGCGGGGAGCAGAGCAGGCAGAAGGACCGAAGTGCATTGCTGAGGGGAGCAGCAGGCAGCAGGAGAGGTCTGTGCACCATGTGGGATCCTCCTCCGGTGGCCAGGGAGCAGCCGGGAATCGAACCGGCGCTGCAGAGGCTGCAGGCAGCTTTGCACTAAGTGCTCAACCGCTGCGCCACCGGGGAGGCCCTCTTCTTCATTTTTGTTGCGATATCAATACACAATGCTAAACAATCTTTTTGGGTTGTTTAAATTTTTGTTTATACTACAAAGCATGTATAAAGTGTACAATTTGGCTAAGTTAGGGTGTGTATACAAGTTAGGGTATATTAGGGTGTGTTAGGTTGTGTTAGAGCTGGACACCTTGATCACCTTGTTAAAGCGGTGTCTCTCAGGTTTTCTTTCCACTGTAAAGTTTCTATTTTCCCTTTGCAACTATTAAGTGTCTTAGGGGAGAAGCCAAGCAATCAAAACAAACTCCCACCCAATACTTTGGCCCACTATCTTTAGTATCTGATTTTTGTCTGTGGCAATTATTGTGCTGGCTGCCAAATGTGACATTTTCCATTTCCATCATTCTTTTTCTGTTGACTGGGATTATGGAGTAAGGAAAAGCTGTGCCTTCTGTTAAAAAGGAAATGACATTACCAAAACGGAGGTAGTTGTGCTAAGCCCATCAAGACT